ATTATAAAATAATGATGTTACTTTTTGCTATTCATTCATAATCATTTGAGATGATGAATTGTTTCAATTTTATCGTGATTTGTTATTGTAAAGTCGGAAAAAGTCGTAATTTATCATATAATTGGACTTRATAACATTCGGAGAGTCTGCACGAGAAATTCTAGTACTTTGGCTCCATAATTTGCTTTAAACCTTTGCAGCTCATCATCAAGGAAGTTTGAATCCAACTACCCYCCTCCCCAAACCTCCTCAGTACTTCATAATGACCAGACAATGAAAACTCGTGGTGTCTGGGAATCTGACTGAGAATTTCCCGAAACATCGAAAAAGTGATTCGTTTATCGCTTATAAAACCTGCGCGTTTTTATTTAGAAAAGTTTAATATAATCTGGCATCTATTTCACATGCTTGTGGAACCTCCGTTACAATGCGATTACATGAAAATAATTGTATTACATTACCTTGAAAATGGGGTACAACTCAATCTGTCTATCTACTTCGATTGGATGGTTTTTGTCACAAACCACTTCAGGTATCAAGGACTCTGTTTGAACATCGCCAAAGAGGTAATTAAGAAAGTATTTTGGTTCATTTTCATGTCAAGAAATGGATTTTAGGAGGGATTAACGGCGTGCTGAATGAAAGTGAAATGACGTCATGCAACTGACACCAAGTTACTATGTCACACCATCCATTAATCTAATGCTCTTTTAAAGTATATTRTCGGTTTTTTAAAGAAATAAAATCCGTTTTATCGCTGTTTTGTATTTCAATAAACAGACCACTGACGTCAAATTGAGGCGGTATCAATCACGAGACAAAGCCGAGCAGTGCGATGACGTGAATGCAGTCTTTTTTTATACGTTTGTCATAAATTGCCTGACAAAATGTTTTGTAACGCATTCTCTTTTGGTGCAGTTCGAAGGAAAATTCAGCCAGGTTCCGCCGCAAAACTATAGATGTATAATTGATTGCACGCATACACGATCTGCCATTGCAGTTGAATCGCAGCTTGTCACAGTTTACCCGAGACTACTTCGGAAATCCGTCGTTTTAAAATCGGAACTCGTAGCCTTGCTTCATCCACTTTTCATTTAAAAGAGTTTGCCAGCAAAATAGATATTAATCCCCCTTCATAGTGGAATTACGTACTTGGCCCTTGTTATTGTATGACAAAATGTATATACAGGTATGAACGATTACATAATCAAAGATATAACTAAAAAATATCAATGACATGATGTCTTAGTCGTGCGTTTCAGTAGGTCCTTCCGTTCAACGTCGATCATAAAACACGTGAGCTTGTTCAGCTTCACAGAATATTGGGAGAAGATTTGTYTCAGAGTTCTACTAACTTGTACCATAGACCATTGAGGCAGTCTGGTTTAGTGGTTTTAAGGGAGACAGAGTTTCAGGAATTTGAAGGGGAGGGGGGGGGGGGGGGGGTGTAGCATTTTCTTCGTTGATTCTGTCTTCGTTTGGCTTCATCAGAGATAGAAACTATGTTTTCATCAATGCATGTTTGCTAAACAAACATGGTCCAATACAATCTGTACCGGGGAAGGGTGATGTTTAACAATAGATTTATCCAAGTAAAACTGAGTCATATGCGCAAGTAAGGGGAGGCAAGCAAACTGGGTGTAAGGCACATGTGTTTATGTTGCTATAAGCGAGCGTTCTTTCAAAATGGCTAGCCAATCAGATAGCCACAGTAGCATCGTTCAGCCACAATTAAAATRTATCTGGATCGAAAGCTGTCAAAGCTTACCCGTTGATGAAGAATATTTGCTTTTTTCGCCAAATGTTTGACTAGTGGCTCGCATCTCCTTCAAAAGGAATTCACAAAATTAACAGAAGGTTTTATAGATGCAGTAAATAATGACCGGAAGAATACAAGATGAAAAAATCCTAACAGAACAGGCAAAAGTAAATACAAATAASATGTTTAAAACCAAAACAGCCTGCTGGAACAGATCGGGTTAATTTTTTAGGAATCATTAAAAGTAGACAAAACTGAACTCGTGAAATTAAAATCTTTCACCTCACCCAAGTCCATATATGAAAAGCAAAGCCACCAATGTTTTTTTAGACTGTGTTAACTGTCATTAAATACGAATAATACTTGATCTTTTGCGACTGACTCTTCGTAGTCAATCAATGCCGCCATGCATATAAATTTCTCTGTAATAAAATTAAAATATCTTTGTATTTTCGCCAAATGTTTCGTAATTCAAAGTCTTATTTGTATAAACTTTATTTTCTCAAAACATTTTAGTCACATCGTTTTTATTTACTGTATTGTCGAAAATCTTTCAGTGTTGTCAAGCGCTTTTAAGTATTTTCCGGGTTTCGTGTCAATTCGTGTAACGAAACCCTCAAATTTAATTGGCTGATAAACGCTAATGGGTTGGGTTTCTCTATTTACTTGTGACYAGTCGTAATCTGTCTCGAGCCATTTGCTGGGTCAGRGCCGGTATCAACAAGCGATATGGAGCGCTGTTATTCCGATAACGTAAGTTACAGYGCTCGCTGCGAGCTTCCTTTGGCCCATGGAATACCTATTGTGATCATTAATTTTCTGYTAGTTTTTATTGGGACGTTTGGTAACTTCCTCATCATCTTTGCCGTCTTAAACACTCCAAAATTACGCCACAAGATCTCAAACTATCTTCTCTTGAGTCTCGCTGTTGCTGATCTTTTCGTCACGATGTTTGCACAGCCACTGAATGCAACTTCAGTAGCGTTCACGACTTTTCGAAAGTGCTGCATCCCAGAAATCGATATGGCYTACGACTTTGCAGGAAACTTTTCTGTGTTCTGTTCGTTGTTCCATTTGGCATCGATCAGCATAGACAGAGCACTTGTCGTAMGAMAWCCACACCAGCACCACGATATAATGGCCAAATATGGGTTAAAAATMATGTTGCCCTTGTGCTTTGGAGGAGCATGCATTCTTGCAATCRTCCGATTCATGTCCGCGTCTGCACTTTTTCTATCCATAGGTCTTGGATTCTTTAACTTTGCAATAATCATTGCTTCGTATGCTGTGATCTTGTACGAGATCAAACGTGAACGACTAGCCACTCATGATACAAGGGGAACAGGATCCATCTCGTCGCGGGACGCCCGCATGGAGAAAAGGGTCGCGGGAACAATTGCCATAATTATCTTCTTTTTCTCTCTGTGCTGGTTTCCACTGCTTGGGTATTATATCAGTGTAAAGAGAGCCGTTTTAAGAGAAATGGGAGGCGTTACTTATATGTGGATTCGAACCCTTGTACTTTCAAACTCCTCGATGAATTTCATTGTCTACAGCTGTCGTATCCAGCAGTTTCGACACGCTTACTTAAGGATTATCAACGRAATCTTGCAAAGACCTAGAGAGGCCCTCGGAATCCATGGTAAGTTTGGAACTACGACGGTCAGCGGAGGAGCAGTGTCGTGTAGCAAAGATAACGAYATCATGGARCTCACAACCCCGTCAGGCGTCTACACCAAGACCGACAAACCCAAACAAAATGAGAAAGAAATAAAAGGAGAAAATAACAATGGGAGGGAAGTGGAAAGTGGGAAAGAACCAAGTGATGGCGATGTTGTCGTTGAAGATTTCAGCAACGCAGGGGAAGACCCTACTGACCCTCAAGAAACGACCGTAGCATCAGTTCGATTTGATTCAACGGACGATAAAGAATCCAGTAGTTCATCGTCAGAAGAGGAGGAAGTTGAAATTCCGACGGCTACTCCAAAAGTCACATTTAACGGTGAATTAGAAACTTTGGAATTTGATCAAAATTCTAAAGTAAAAAGCAAATCTTTAACAAGGAATTCCAAAAAATTCAAACTGGATAAAAACTAATGATTATGATACCTTAGGATGTTTKTATACAGACATRCTAGCGCTCATTCTAAGGTTATCGCGTCATAAAGACATGATTTATGCCSGTAAAGAGGAGGTCTCTGTTTGCATGAGAATACTTTGTATTCGACCGCAAGCTGCCCGTACAATGGAGRTGTCCGTATTATAAAAATGCTCATACAACTTAAAGCGTCCGTTTTAGAGAGTTCCTGTCTTGCTAATTGTTCTGTTTTGACATGAAAATTCTTGTTTTTCATCACTGTTGAGAAATGCTTAGTGAACTTTAGAAATCCTATCAATCACCCGAATTTTCAAAGCTAAAACAAAACAATTTCTAACACGAAAAAAATAAATAAATTAATAATGATCGAATTTATGACTACGTTTACTGCAAGAATTAAATAAAACTTTCACTGAAAGATAATTTTACATGTAAATATCAATAGTTATACAATAAATAACAAGAACAAACACGTCTAGGGTTAGTAAAAGTAAATACTGTATAAAAAGTATTCGATCGAATTTGGTTCAGTATTTTTTTAGAAATGAAATTCGAGCAAAAATATTAGCAAGTGACTAATCTGACGAGTAATTGCAAACGTTTTTGTAGAAAATAGTGTATTATTCAATACAATTCACCAATAATTTATTGTGCAATCGTTGTAAATAAAAGTCTTCAATAATGACCTCACCAGAATAATATTGTTCATTCTACTTGGACGCRAATTCTGCCGTCCGATGACGATGTTTTGTTATGTCCGGTTTGCGCAATGAGATTGAACATGCATTTTTCTTATTTAACCATTGAATTTATTATTTTTTTTGTGTGAGAATATTGCTAATATATTTCAAACTAGAGTTGGTGATGCTGAAATAGAGGGGAGGGAGGGAGGTTTCAAGATGTTCAGTCTTGGGGGTGCCCAAAATTTCACAGGATTTCATATCCTTCACGGGAAATTAAGGGGGCGGTGAAATAAAAAAATAAGGAGAAAAATTAAATTTAAATGGGACTCATTCATTCTGTAAACCAACTAGAGCAGCCTTTATCTGAGAGACATTTCATTTCCCACAGCCACGTACCGTTGTGACGTTGTGACGTTGTGTATCCGCTACTGGGAGGTGACATCAAATGTAAAACGTTTAATGAGTTAAAACTAACTTTAATCCTCTTTAATACTCATGAAGCAAAAGGGCCTCGTTGTGTAATCATCTGAATTGAATGCAGAATTATAAATGAAGATATACTCCAATTAGAAAATCTCCTAATGAACCAAGAATGGAACTCACAGAAGAAATGTGAAATGTAGTAAAAAAAGCCATATGCTTTTTATTTCTGAGCGCGCATGATTTTATGATTATAGTGGCTCAAAACTGATAAAGAAGTTATTCCTATTATCTTGTTTTATCATATAATTATCGATTAAATACCGATATATCTCCATTTCGTAAAAATGATATTTTCACTAGTGAAAATAACACATTCGAGGTTTCTCTATATAGTGGAAGTAAGAAAAAAGGTATTTTACGACTGACATAATTTACTTGTGTAACTATATGATAAACAGAATATTAAATAGTGGTCGCTTGCCGATACAAATTTTATCTTCTCGTGTTGAAAATCTCTCTGCGCGCCCATGTAATATCCTCTATATTATCTAAACAATACTTATTAAACTGTACAAGGTATTGGGTATATATAAGAATAATCATTGTTGGTAAAACGTATGGAATGCCAAGTTTACATCTAGTTTTATGCTATATTGTAGTCGGTAAGCATGGTGGATTGTGCCGTAAATACAGTAATCCAGTGTTTTTCTTTGGCCTTTATCATTTTCATAGTAATAAAGAGCACTTGTCCAGTATTATGTATTTACAGGTATTCGGTGCCAACCCTCAGTTGATTTGCCAAATGAAGGAATACTCATCATCGCAAAGATATAAATTGTTACTTCGAGATTAACGCAGTGTTAGCTACAATAAATTTGACCAGGAATGGCGTAGGGATTATGTATTTACAGGTACTGCATGCCATGTTTCAGTTGATTGGCCAAATGAAGGAATATTCATCATCGCAAAGATACAAATTGTTACTTCGAGATGACGCAGTGTCAGTTAAGATAAATTTGACCAGGAATGGCGTAGGGATCAGCTACAGATGATTGTACTTGATTCACTTTCTGTCCTTCCACATTCCGGCTGTTTTCAGGGCTCAATTTGCTAACAACAGTAATCTGCAATACTTTAGGATCATTTCCTGCATCGTTTCGACTGAGCTGATCGGCAGTGTCGGTAACGCTGTCATGCAAGCTCGTGGGGTAGTTAGACAAACCAAATAACGCTCTTGGCTTGCGCGATAAGTTACGCAAGATCCTGAGGTACGCCACACGGAAATGGTTGATGCGGAGGCTGTAGACGATGAAATTCATCGAAGAATTAGACAACGCCAAGGTTCGGATCCACATGTAGACAACGCTGCCAATATCTCTTAATACTGCGCTTCGAACGGAAAGGTAAAAACCGACAAGAGGCAGAGCACAGATTGAAAAGAACAAAATCACAATCAAGATTGTCCCAGAAACACGCTTCTCCATGCGGAGATCGCGCGCGGCTTTCGTGCCCCCCGCCAGCGCAGCGGAGTCGTTTGACTTCACCTTTTCACCATGGAATATCTGATGCAGAATCACAATGTAAGCGATGATGATTATTGCGTAGTTAAAGAAAATTAACGCAATTGAGAGCATCATTNAGCATTTTCTTCGTTGATTCTGTCTTCGTTTGGCTTCATCAGAGATAGAAACTATGTTTTCATCAATGCATGTTTGCTAAACAAACATGGTCCAATACAATCTGTACCGGGGAAGGGTGATGTTTAACAATAGATTTATCCAAGTAAAACTGAGTCATATGCGCAAGTAAGGGGAGGCAAGCAAACTGGGTGTAAGGCACATGTGTTTATGTTGCTATAAGCGAGCGTTCTTTCAAAATGGCTAGCCAATCAGATAGCCACAGTAGCATCGTTCAGCCACAATTAAAATRTATCTGGATCGAAAGCTGTCAAAGCTTACCCGTTGATGAAGAATATTTGCTTTTTTCGCCAAATGTTTGACTAGTGGCTCGCATCTCCTTCAAAAGGAATTCACAAAATTAACAGAAGGTTTTATAGATGCAGTAAATAATGACCGGAAGAATACAAGATGAAAAAATCCTAACAGAACAGGCAAAAGTAAATACAAATAASATGTTTAAAACCAAAACAGCCTGCTGGAACAGATCGGGTTAATTTTTTAGGAATCATTAAAAGTAGACAAAACTGAACTCGTGAAATTAAAATCTTTCACCTCACCCAAGTCCATATATGAAAAGCAAAGCCACCAATGTTTTTTTAGACTGTGTTAACTGTCATTAAATACGAATAATACTTGATCTTTTGCGACTGACTCTTCGTAGTCAATCAATGCCGCCATGCATATAAATTTCTCTGTAATAAAATTAAAATATCTTTGTATTTTCGCCAAATGTTTCGTAATTCAAAGTCTTATTTGTATAAACTTTATTTTCTCAAAACATTTTAGTCACATCGTTTTTATTTACTGTATTGTCGAAAATCTTTCAGTGTTGTCAAGCGCTTTTAAGTATTTTCCGGGTTTCGTGTCAATTCGTGTAACGAAACCCTCAAATTTAATTGGCTGATAAACGCTAATGGGTTGGGTTTCTCTATTTACTTGTGACYAGTCGTAATCTGTCTCGAGCCATTTGCTGGGTCAGRGCCGGTATCAACAAGCGATATGGAGCGCTGTTATTCCGATAACGTAAGTTACAGYGCTCGCTGCGAGCTTCCTTTGGCCCATGGAATACCTATTGTGATCATTAATTTTCTGYTAGTTTTTATTGGGACGTTTGGTAACTTCCTCATCATCTTTGCCGTCTTAAACACTCCAAAATTACGCCACAAGATCTCAAACTATCTTCTCTTGAGTCTCGCTGTTGCTGATCTTTTCGTCACGATGTTTGCACAGCCACTGAATGCAACTTCAGTAGCGTTCACGACTTTTCGAAAGTGCTGCATCCCAGAAATCGATATGGCYTACGACTTTGCAGGAAACTTTTCTGTGTTCTGTTCGTTGTTCCATTTGGCATCGATCAGCATAGACAGAGCACTTGTCGTAMGAMAWCCACACCAGCACCACGATATAATGGCCAAATATGGGTTAAAAATMATGTTGCCCTTGTGCTTTGGAGGAGCATGCATTCTTGCAATCRTCCGATTCATGTCCGCGTCTGCACTTTTTCTATCCATAGGTCTTGGATTCTTTAACTTTGCAATAATCATTGCTTCGTATGCTGTGATCTTGTACGAGATCAAACGTGAACGACTAGCCACTCATGATACAAGGGGAACAGGATCCATCTCGTCGCGGGACGCCCGCATGGAGAAAAGGGTCGCGGGAACAATTGCCATAATTATCTTCTTTTTCTCTCTGTGCTGGTTTCCACTGCTTGGGTATTATATCAGTGTAAAGAGAGCCGTTTTAAGAGAAATGGGAGGCGTTACTTAYATGTGGATTCGAACCCTTGTACTTTCAAACTCCTCGATGAATTTCATTGTCTACAGCTGTCGTATCCAGCAGTTTCGACACGCTTACTTAAGGATTATCAACGRAATCTTGCAAAGACCTAGAGAGGCCCTCGGAATCCATGGTAAGTTTGGAACTACGACGGTCAGCGGAGGAGCAGTGTCGTGTAGCAAAGATAACGAYATCATGGARCTCACAACCCCGTCAGGCGTCTACACCAAGACCGACAAACCCAAACAAAATGAGAAAGAAATAAAAGGAGAAAATAACAATGGGAGGGAAGTGGAAAGTGGGAAAGAACCAAGTGATGGCGATGTTGTCGTTGAAGATTTCAGCAACGCAGGGGAAGACCCTACTGACCCTCAAGAAACGACCGTAGCATCAGTTCGATTTGATTCAACGGACGATAAAGAATCCAGTAGTTCATCGTCAGAAGAGGAGGAAGTTGAAATTCCGACGGCTACTCCAAAAGTCACATTTAACGGTGAATTAGAAACTTTGGAATTTGATCAAAATTCTAAAGTAAAAAGCAAATCTTTAACAAGGAATTCCAAAAAATTCAAACTGGATAAAAACTAATGATTATGATACCTTAGGATGTTTKTATACAGACATRCTAGCGCTCATTCTAAGGTTATCGCGTCATAAAGACATGATTTATGCCSGTAAAGAGGAGGTCTCTGTTTGCATGAGAATACTTTGTATTCGACCGCAAGCTGCCCGTACAATGGAGRTGTCCGTATTATAAAAATGCTCATACAACTTAAAGCGTCCGTTTTAGAGAGTTCCTGTCTTGCTAATTGTTCTGTTTTGACATGAAAATTCTTGTTTTTCATCACTGTTGAGAAATGCTTAGTGAACTTTAGAAATCCTATCAATCACCCGAATTTTCAAAGCTAAAACAAAACAATTTCTAACACGAAAAAAATAAATAAATTAATAATGATCGAATTTATGACTACGTTTACTGCAAGAATTAAATAAAACTTTCACTGAAAGATAATTTTACATGTAAATATCAATAGTTATACAATAAATAACAAGAACAAACACGTCTAGGGTTAGTAAAAGTAAATACTGTATAAAAAGTATTCGATCGAATTTGGTTCAGTATTTTTTTAGAAATGAAATTCGAGCAAAAATATTAGCAAGTGACTAATCTGACGAGTAATTGCAAACGTTTTTGTAGAAAATAGTGTATTATTCAATACAATTCACCAATAATTTATTGTGCAATCGTTGTAAATAAAAGTCTTCAATAATGACCTCACCAGAATAATATTGTTCATTCTACTTGGACGCRAATTCTGCCGTCCGATGACGATGTTTTGTTATGTCCGGTTTGCGCAATGAGATTGAACATGCATTTTTCTTATTTAACCATTGAATTTATTATTTTTTTTGTGTGAGAATATTGCTAATATATTTCAAACTAGAGTTGGTGATGCTGAAATAGAGGGGAGGGAGGGAGGTTTCAAGATGTTCAGTCTTGGGGGTGCCCAAAATTTCACAGGATTTCATATCCTTCACGGGAAATTAAGGAGGCGGTAAAATAAAAAAAAAAGGAGAAAAATTAAATCTAAATGGGACTCATTCATTCTGTAAACCAACTAGAGCAGCCTTAATCTGAGAGACATTTCATTTCCCACAGCCACGTACCGTTGTGTATTCCGCTACTGGGAGGTGACATCAAATGTAAAACGTTTAATGAGTTAAAACTAACTTTAATCCTCTTTAATACTCATGAAGCAAAAGGGCCTCGTTGTGTAATCATCTGAATTGAATGCAGAATTATAAATGAAGATATACTCCAATTAGAAAATCTCCTAATGAACCAAGAATGGAACTCACAGAAGAAATGTGAAATGTAGTAAAAAAAGCCATATGCTTTTTATTTCTGAGCGCGCATGATTTTATGATTATAGTGGCTCAAAACTGATAAAGAAGTTATTCCTATTATCTTGTTTTATCATATAATTATCGATTAAATACCGATATATCTCCATTTCGTAAAAATGATATTTTCACTAGTGAAAATAACACATTCGAGGTTTCTCTATATAGTGGAAGTAAGAAAAAAGGTATTTTACGACTGACATAATTTACTTGTGTAACTATATGATAAACAGAATATTAAATAGTGGTCGCTTGCCGATACAAATTTTATCTTCTCGTGTTGAAAATCTCTCTGCGCGCCCATGTAATATCCTCTATATTATCTAAACAATACTTATTAAACTGTACAAGGTATTGGGTATATATAAGAATAATCATTGTTGGTAAAACGTATGGAATGCCAAGTTTACATCTAGTTTTATGCTATATTGTAGTCGGTAAGCATGGTGGATTGTGCCGTAAATACAGTAATCCAGTGTTTTTCTTTGGCCTTTATCATTTTCATAGTAATAAAGAGCACTTGTCCAGTATTATGTATTTACAGGTATTCGGTGCCAACCCTCAGTTGATTTGCCAAATGAAGGAATACTCATCATCGCAAAGATATAAATTGTTACTTCGAGATTAACGCAGTGTTAGCTACAATAAATTTGACCAGGAATGGCGTAGGGATTATGTATTTACAGGTACTGCATGCCATGTTTCAGTTGATTGGCCAAATGAAGGAATATTCATCATCGCAAAGATACAAATTGTTACTTCGAGATGACGCAGTGTCAGTTAAGATAAATTTGACCAGGAATGGCGTAGGGATCAGCTACAGATGATTGTACTTGATTCACTTTCTGTCCTTCCACATTCCGGCTGTTTTCAGGGCTCAATTTGCTAACAACAGTAATCTGCAATACTTTAGGATCATTTCCTGCATCGTTTCGACTGAGCTGATCGGCAGTGTCGGTAACGCTGTCATGCAAGCTCGTGGGGTAGTTAGACAAACCAAATAACGCTCTTGGCTTGCGCGATAAGTTACGCAAGATCCTGAGGTACGCCACACGGAAATGGTTGATGCGGAGGCTGTASACGATGAAATTCATYGARGARTTAGACAACGCCAAGGTKCGGATCCACATGTAGACAACGCTGCCAATATCTCTTAAYACTGCGCTTCGAACRGAAAGGTAAAAMCCGACAAGAGGCAGAGCACAGATYGAAAAGAACAAAATCACAATCAARATTGTCCCAGAAACACGCTTCTCCATGCGGAGATCGCGCGCGGCTTTCGTGSCCCCCGCCAGCGCAGCGGAGTCGTTTGACTTCACCTTTTCACCATGGAATATCTGATGCAGAATCACAATGTAAGCGATGATGATTATTGCGTAGTTAAAGAAAATTAACGCAATTGAGAGCATCATTGCCTCTGGTAATGGAACACGGAGGCAGACGAACACTAGAGCGCTGCACCAACAAGTCGCCAACATGATTTTCAGGCCTTTTTTCTTCATGATATCTTGGTGRGTGTGTGGTTTTGTTGCTGCGAGTGCGCGGTCAATGCTAACAGCTGAAAGATGGAAAATCGAGCAGAAGAAGGAGAAATTCCCAGTTACATCATAGATAAAGTCAATTTCKTCGATACAATGATGCTTATAGGTCTTAAAGCACATTGAAATCGCATGCAATGGCTGTGCGCACATCGTCACAAGCAGGTCAGCCACTGCCAGGCTGAGAAGAAGAAAGTTGGACGGTCTCTGACGAAGACGAGGAGTTTTTAAAACTGCGAAAACGATGAGGAGGTTTCCACATGATCCGATGACGATCAGGAAGAAGTTTATCACAATGATAGCTGTTCCCTCGTAAAACTCGATGATGCACTTATCGCTTGTTGGTTTTGATGTTGTGCTCTGGTAGATTGGCGTAGTAAGATTACTAAGGGTTAAGTTAAACATTKTCCTCTGCCAATAATTTGACTTYGCGCCAAAACCGTATGAGTTGTTATAGTTAGATGAATCTCTTGGATATTGCCTTCTGATAACTACTAAATGTTGATTGCTACTTTACTATTAAGTGCCGCATAAAAGTCCAATAAGACTCTTGCACTGAAACGTCCTCCACGCTCTCTTTATCGAAGAGAATCAAAGGGATTATAATGTGAAAGCTTTGCAAGTAAACACTAAACAAGCAAACATTCAGATATTGGTATTTCAAACGTTTCCATAGCTCTCCATCCAAACTAAATACTGCATCGAGCAGGTCTCTAACACTGTGTGAATAGCCATATTACACCTGTCATATTAATAAATACAGCAAATGACGAAAAACAAATAGTGAGAAAGGTCTTAGCCAATGAAATAATCACCATGTCATGTTTATAATCGTTAAGAGGAAGTTATTCAGGCAAGTTTAATAAATATGAATAAACAGTTCCGGAAAATTGTTTGGAAACATAGAAGTGATACAGGCTGCGACAAGTACTGGATTTATTAGATTAGAAAAAAAAGTACAGAGATTGACACATATATACGGAAAGTACACCTAAGTATATCAAAGTGTTTTCAGTATATTCTGTATATACCCMAGTATAAAATCCTCCGTCTTCTATCATCATTTGGTTTTTGAAATTTAATTTATGCAGTGCAAATCAGATTTGTCTTAACAACGTAAACGCGCTAAAAGGGATTTGAACTCGTTCAAAGTTCAAAYGCGAACGCGTTTTTCGTTTTATTTGTCAAACGCGTTTTAATGCAAAATCAAACGCTATTTTTTGTTTCATTTGCCAGTCTACCAAGGGATCATTGCACTGAAAATCTCTTCTTGTCACTCTATCAGCTGAGTTTTGCAATAATTGAACTATACTAGAATCACCTGGTTTTTTTTTTGGCCTAGAACAGTTTCATTTATGACCGAAAAGAATATCTCTTTGAAACGACAAAATGGGGATTATATATTATAAACGTAGATGACGTATTGTCATAAACAATTTTTTTCTTATTTTCTTCCGCGAACTACGTTTTTTTCTTATTTTCTTCCGCGAACTGTCTTCATAATAGTATTTATTATTCATTAGTTTTGGAAGCAAGTGGTAATTTGAAGAATTGAGCATTCAGAAGCAAAGAATAGACCCTAAGAACATCTGGGTTATATTTCATGATAGAATACTAGTGTCCTGCAGGCTACTTTGAACTCATTTGTTTTCTCTGTAACAATGCCTATAATATAAGCCGAATGGGTAGATAATCTTTAGTTTTTTTTCGTTAGCATGAGGTTCACCTGTTATTCCAAAGCTATCAACATCCA